CGAGCTCATTCTGTACGGGAAGCGAGTGAGTGGTTTCTTCAGCCAGATGCACATAGGGCTCATGAAGGGCGCACCAAATAGTATCGTGGTGGACGGTGGTCATTGCGCCCACTGAAAGATGGTGGAGGATGGCTTCTCTAGCCGCATAACGTCTCCGAGTCTGTGCAACATCATCGACAATGATGCGTCTAGTCGCTGCGATTTATGACGCTATCTGTGTCGTCACTTCGTTGCGGGCTGTTCCGTAGAACAATTCTTGAACACCATTCCTTAGTCCGGGATGATGCCTACTCCTCTTCAGGAAACAGTGACCTCTGATAGCTCCTGCTCTTCGGGCTTCGGGCTTCAGTTATGATGCTGCTGGGAGACAGCACCTGCGACTGCCGCCACCCCCATATCAAATCGGGGTAAGTCTGAGTACAAAAGGTAAGCGATTGTATGGATGTTGAAACCACAGCCGCGTATACCGGGCGACGGCACTGCGGTCGTCCAAGCACTCTTACCGCGCACTTCTGAGATATCGGCTGCGTACAAGACCGGGAGTCCATTTGATAACACTAATTTCTTTGGCAGCTTAATCTGAATTGGAAACGGGTACGTACGCGCGGCGCTGGCTTTGACTAGAGCGAGAGAGCTGCGCTGACAACCGTCTAGATGCGAACGTATGGAGAAGGCTTCGCGGCCGTCCTTCTTTTACGCATTGTACACACCCCGCAGTACTCTTATGCTGCGGCCTTATCTGGGCCTCAACATTTGGTATGAGCCTGAAGCTGCGTCGATTCTCTCTTAACCGGCCGGGGTGGGAGCGCAATCATCACACGTGAGCTCTCCTCGTTGTACAGAAGTGGATTCTATTTCTTGTCCTCATTCAACGTTCACAGGCGGCCGGATATGTTGCCCGCCATGACGGACGCAGTCCGCTCCCCATTCGTTTTAAACCGACAACTTGGGATATCGTATGGCCTGACTAGGTCCGGTTTACCGACGGACCCATTGCGACGCATATCTCTCGTACCCTCTGTACCTCCGAGGCCACACAACACTGCCTAGTTTGACAGAGGGCCAAGAGATGTCACTGCTCTACAATCGTGCATCAACACCTCTTATTACCCTCTTTCGAGTACGCTTCCACCGCCGCACAAGGCACTCGGCGACCACCATACCGCAGACGAGCGGAGCGTCACTGGCCCGTGGGGTGGCGAGAACCATCCATAGCGAATCCAAGACGTGTGCGTGTTCGAAACCGCCGGACGCGGTGCGAACCCCTACTCACACGTCAACTACAGCGCCGCCCATGCTTTTAGACGAGTTCTCCCTCGCTGGGAAGGTCGCGCTCGTCACAGGCGCGAACCGTGGGCTCGGCCTCGCAGGTGCCTTGGCTCTGGCCGAGGTGGGCGCCCGTGTGGTATACTGCGTCGATATCGCCGACAAGCCAGGCCCGGAGTGGTCGCGTGCTCGGGAGTTCGTGTCACGTATGCGGGGCGGCGGTGGCGACAGTCGGTTCGAGTACATCCGGGGAGATGTCAGCCACCAGGTGAGCATCATTCCCTTCCCTCACTTTCCCGATCTACCAGACACTCATCGTCGGCGTGCGACCTGCAGGAGGGTATGTGGGACATTGGCAAGACGATTGGTGATCGGGAGGGACGCTTGGATGTATGCCTGGCTGCAGCTGGGATCTCAGGAACGCCGCAGGACACCCTCTATGTCCGGGACGCGAGCTACCAAGAGGTACGCGAGTGCGCCCCGACCGATTCACTCGCCGGCATATCACTTACGCTCATAGTAGGTGTTGGACGTGAATCTCAAAGGACCGCTCTATACGGCTCAAGCCGCAGGTCAGCAAATGGTGAAATCCGGGAACGGGGGAAGCATCATTTTAGTGGCCAGTATCGCCGGCAATCTCACCGTAGTAAGTGCATTGCTGCTCTTATATACTCTTCAACGAGTGCGACGAGTTGCTGATGAACATGGCGCGTAGAACATAGGTCTCTCGCCGTACGAAATCTCGAAGGGCGGCGTGCTCCAAATGACCCGAAGCCTCGCCTGCGAGCTAGCACCGCAGGGAATCAGGGTGAACAGTATCAGTCCTGGCTTCCACAAAACCCCGTACGTACGACTCATAACTAGGGCGTACCTGCCGCGTCCATGCTGCTGATGCGCCGTCCGTGGTTGTAGCATGTTGGACAAGATCGTGGTCGAGCAACCGGGTTTGGTAGACGGTGTGCCTGGCCGCAGCGCGATGAAGCGTCTTGGGGAACCGCGTGAGCTGCGAGGCGCGGTGGCGTGGCTTGCAAGCTCGGCAAGCTCGTTCTGCACTGGGAGCGAGTACGTGACCTATCCCCGAGACGGTGTCCTAATCTGACGGGTGAACCTTACAGCATCGTCGTGGATGGGGGCTATCGCGCCCACTGAACATCCGGGGGAAGGGAGTTGTAGAGTAGGACGTTCACTGCAAAGGGCGCGACCGGTTTCTGACCCTTCTATGTCAATCCGTGATAGTAGCCGTACGTAAGCTTAGGCTGGCAGTAGCTTCACGAAGGGAACGAGCACTTACTTCCCCGCCAGACCGCTGATTACGTTGAAGTGTACGTTGTTAGCATCACCTAATCAGGGCGACCGAAGCTACCAATTCCCGGCCTTGGCGTAGAGAACGAGAGTGAACGTCAGCCCACGCTGCGAGACACAAGTACCGCACCAATCACACACAACCCCCGAGACGGGGTTTATCGAAGAGATGGCCGTGACTGAAACGCCAGCTGACCAGTTCTATCAAGCCCCTAGCATCCCGCAGCGGATGAAATCCCCCATGGGGCACGACGCGCCGCGACAGGGGCCTTCGGCGAGTTCTTCTGGGTGTCCTCGTCGCAGAGATGTAAGCGTGCCGGTACCCGACGCTCGCACGCGCGCTGCATCGTAAACCTTGGGGAGCCCCGGGATGATGTCAAGTGTGCTCACAGGACTCGCCGGGGTGCAGAGACACCTCTCGCCCGGCGCACTCGTGACGCGTCCTCTGGTCTTCGCTTGCGAGCGGGCTGAAACCGTGGCGAGTGCCACCGCGCGCGGTGGGCCGCCATCCCGCCCTCGTGCGGGGTCGTGCGGGGTATTTAACGCGGGGTAATGGAGGACGGGTGGGGACCAAGACGCGCTCTGCAGGAGACGTCGAACGAACAGCCCACTTCATCCCTCGTCCTACACTCACGACATGCTCGCGCCGGTCCTCAGAACACGCGTCGCGTCTGCTGCGCCCCTCGCGTCCGCCGCGAGGCTGGGTCGCGCCCACTTCGCGAGCAGCGCGCGCGCGATGTCTGCCGCCTCGGCGAAAGACCGCATGACGGGCCCGCCGCCACCGTACGGCCCGGTCGGCGTCTCCAGAGCGCTCGAAGCGAAGGCCTCGGGCGCTAGCCGTAAGTCCCATCCCGTTATACCTCATGAGTTTAAATAAATGTTGACTAGGTTGGGATAGGCACGACGTCGACGCTATTCGAAAACGAGTTCGCGCTGACGGACCGCGTCGCGATCGTGACGGGCGCGAACCGCGGGATCGGGCTGGAGATGGCGCTCGCGCTTGCTGAGGCGGGTGCGCGCGCCGTGTACTGTGTCGACCTCCCGAAGACGCCGGGAGAGGAGTTCGACGCGGTGAAGACGTACCTCAGTAAACTCGAGGGAAAGAAGGGAGAGGGGAGGGTCGAGTATATCAGCGCGGACGTGACTGACCAGGTGCGTGCCTCTCTGTGGAGTGTGGACCGAGAACCGAGTTCTGACTGAGGTTTCTGTTGCAGGCCGCAATGTGGAAGCTGGGCGAGCAGATCGGGAGCAGGGAGGGGCGCATGGACGTCTGTGTCGCTGCGGCCGGTATCCTCAAGGGCGACATGAACTGCCTCAACTACCCCGCCGATCGGTTCAAGCAGGTCCTTGACGTGAATGTCAACGGCGTGTTGTACACTGCGCAGGCGGCGGGCCGCCAGATGGCCAAGTTCAACAACGGGGGCAGCATCATCCTGATCGGGAGCATCAGCGGAAGCGGCGCGAACCAGGTGCGTACACCAATCGTCCGCAGAGAACACGGACGGAGTGCTCACTTGCTATGTTCACCCGCAGGGACACCCATGGGTATCGTACAACACGTCCAAGTCGGCGGTGCTGCAGATGGCCCGTAGCATGGCGTGCGAACTTGGTCCCCAGCGCATCCGGGTGAACACGATCAGCCCCGGGTACATCAACACCAGGTAAAGTCTTGTTCGCGATTTACGGTTGTCAGCACCCCGCTGACTAAGTTCGTGCAGCATGACGGGACAGTTCCTCGAGAAGAGGCCGGAGCTGATTGAGAGGTGGTGCAGCAACAACCCAATGGGCCGCATTGGTCGGCCAGACGAGCTGCGCGGGGTGACGGTCTGGCTGGCGAGCGACGCCAGCACTTTCTGCACGGGTAGCGAGTGAGTGCCCTTCGTCTAGCCCAAAAGAAGGGGACGCAAACTGACTGACTATCTCTCTGTAGCGTCGTTGTGAGCGGCGGCCACCACGCGTGGTGAAGGGCCCATATGCTTGTAGAGATCCCGAGCACCTGCATGGTGAGGACGAGACACTGTAACATCAATTGTACGAGTATGTAAGCGATTGCAGCCAATGTCACTGGGTATGTCGCTTGTAGACTACGGGGGATTGAGAGGCGCGTCAAAGATTTCTGTCTGGCCTGGGCGTCAGGTAGCTTGTCATACACTACCGCAATGTGCATGATGGCCGTATACAGCCTGCATGCGGGCTTTCGCGGCGGACATTGCAATTGGTTTGGTAAACATCAGCTAGTAGTCCGGGGTCCGTAGGCTTTCCAACCGCTCAGTAGGTTTATGGAGCTTCAGGAGCTCGAGAAGAGGGTGAGGCGAGCGATACTGATCTACGAACGACGGACATGGAAGACGAGGGTAAATATTGAGGGCAAAGAAAATAGCCAAGGCGCGATCATCTTTCCGCGGGATAGGCTGGGGAGCGGGGAAAAAAGAGGGCCTAACTGGGAATTGAACCCAGGACCACTCGCAATCGGCAAACACCCAAAGCGAGTATCATACTTCTAGACCATTAGGCCTTGTTGAGAGAGAACATGTCAATCTATACGTCGCGAGTTTATGGGTAGTACATGACTGCGATACAAACTCGATATAACCCAAGTATATAGTCTACACCGGATACAATCACAGTACGCTACAACACAGTCGTCCTACACGCTCATCTTCATCGCGATGCTGGGGTGCGGGTCGTAGCCCTCGACAACAAAGTCCTCGCTTCGGAAGTCGTCGATGCTCTCCACCTTGCGGGGCCACCGGAGTTTGGGGAACGGCCGGGGCTCACGCTCAAGCTGGGTCTTGAGCGCGTCGACGTGGTCGCGATAGACATGCGCGTCGCCGAGCTGGATGATAAGCTCGTGTGGGACGGTATCGGTGACGTGGGCAACCATGTGGGTGAGGAGGGCGTAGGAGGCAATGTTGAAGGGAATGCCGAGGCCGAGGTCGGCGGAGCGTTGGTACATCAAGCATGAGAGCTTGGGCTTTGCGGAGGGGTCGTCGGCGGGCGGGAGGTGGACATAGAATTGGCACATCATGTGGCAGGGTGGGAGTGCCATCTGGGGAATGTCTGCGAGAGAGCGTCAGGAGGGACGCGGGGGGCGCGGACATCAAGGCGTACCTGCGGGGTTCCAGGCGGAGAGGATGATACGGCGGTCGGTGGGATCGTGCTTGATCTTGCGGATGCACTCCTGGAGCTGATCGACGCCTTTGCCAGTGTAGTCCGCATCACAATCCTCATACTGCGCTCCGAAGTGCCGCCACTGGAAGCCATAGACGGGACCGAGGTCACCCTCGCGTCGGTGCCCGAGACCGCGCTTGGCGAGGAATTCTTTGGAGCCATTGCCGTCCCAGATCTTGACGCCCTTCGCGGAGAGCTGCTTTGAGTCTGTGCAGCCGTTGATGAACCAGAGGAGCTCTTCAACGATGCCGCGAAGGAAGGTGCGTTTTGTGGTGAGGAGAGGGAGGGTATCGTCCGCGAGGGAGAAACGGAGGTTGGGAGGGGCGAAGAGGGAGAGGGTGCCGGTGCCGGTGCGGTCTGGACGAACGGCGCCAGTGTCGAGGACGGTGCTAATGAGGTCTAGGTACTGGTGCTCGTCGTGCGCGCGTTCAGTAGGGGTGACTGCCATCGTGTGTGGAGGAGGGAGGGAGGAGAGACGCGTCGGTGGGCGCTGTTGACGCGTCGAGCGTGTAGGACTGCACGGTCACGTGGGCCGACGCGTGGACGGATGGTTCGCCCGAGCCACGCCCATCTCTCCTCTCCTCTCTCTTCTCTCCCTCGACTCGCCATCTGCCTGTGCTGCCTCTCTGCCTGCTCGCCCTTTCTAACTGGGCCCCGCCTACAATATGCCACCTGCAACGAAGACAAGGACCACCGCTTCCCGCACCACCCGGACCGCCTCAAGCACAAAGTCTAAGCCACCGTCTACTGTCTCGCCCGACGAGCTTGCAGACAACCTCGCGTCGAAACTCTCCATCTCCGACCCTAAAGGGAAGGCAAAGGCGACAGATGCCTCCCCTCAGCAACGCAAAGCTACTGCTATGCGCACCGTCAACGCTGCCTCCAAGGCTCTCTCTTCCGTACTCGATTCGGGCTGGAGGGCCTCCGACTCCAAGTCAAACAAGTCCACTGCGGCCTCTGCTGTCAAGCAAGCCACCCTCGCTCGAAAAGAACTTGCTACCCTCCGCGAAATTGCCCAAGGAGAAGTAGATGTAGAACGCGCTGCATCCAGTTTAGTTGGCAAACTAATCAGCCTCGAGATGGTTCGTCCGCTTACTCTTTCTTCACCGTTCTCTGCTTACCTCGTCCAAAGTACCAAGCAGCGTCTGGTGTCTTACAAGACATGAGGACGCATCTCACTAAGTTCTATAGTCCTGTCGCACAGGCTCCTACCGCCCATTCTCTACATGACCTACTCGCTTTACCCCTGCACGACGGCCCCATATCGGAACTCCATCTAACACTCATCTCCACCTACCTCCTACACGCTCTTATTGTTGCGCTTAACACGACAACTGACCTTCCTGCGCTACTTACCGTCCTCCATGACCCTGCCGTGCCCACTCTGCTTCCGTGGGCACCACTTCTGTCTGGCTTGCCGGACAAACAGCACGACCACGTCTTCACGCGTGCTTACACCGTCTCTTCACGCACTGCCTCGTCTTCTGGAACTGCTCCCCAGTCCGCGTACTCTCTGCGAATATACTCGCTCCTCTGTCTTGCTCACACTCGGCCGTCTGTGATCGCCCCGAAGACCTTCTGGGACCAGGCCACCAAGTTCACTGCTGCGTTCGCCAACTCGGACTCCGTCAGCCCATCGGAGGGCGCGCGGACTGTCCTTGAAGGGTGTACTCGCCTGATCGCCTCTGTGGAGAGGCGAAGCGACCGTGCAGACTTCATGTCGGGCGCGGCGTTTGCCCGTTTCTGCGAGTATTGGGGCAGGTTCGCCAAGCTGGTGTGTTCTACCTTCTCGCAGCTTGGTTGCATGTCATGACCTCTGTGGTACAGGCCGGAGACGTGCGCACTCTGGAACAAATCAGTAACTTGACTCAAGGATCTGCCGGCAATGCAGACACAAGCAGCGACCGAATGGTCGTCGAGACCTCTGCATTGTGCACTACACTTGCGCGCGGTCTGGCGGTTTTCGAGGCTTGGCAGGGTACGTGGTCATGGTCGCTTTAGCCGTTCAGATATACTCATGTGCACCGCAGACCACACAACGGATATTGTTGACAAGCTACGGGAGGCTTCAAGCGCCATTACTCGATGTGGACCATCGCTTGAGCAATCTGGTGACGACCACGACCGCGTTAAGCGAGGTGTTGAAAGGTTGCGTCGGGCCGCGGTCAAGATTGTCGAGCCCCCAACCGCCTCCGCTACAGACATCCCACCAGAGGTCAGGACGTGCGCGTGCGGGATTCTGGAGCAAATCGCCGACGTGCTATGTGAACCAGTGGGTGCTCTTCTTCACCTCTCGCTCATGCTCCGAAGCTGACGCAAGTTGATAGAAAGCGTTGTACACTTCGACAACAGTGACGGGCGGTGTGGAGAGCCTCTTCACGCTGGCCCGCACCACGTTCGTTCTGACCAACCCGGACACCTACGCTCTCGCGCGTACATACCTGCAACGTGCCGCTGCACTCGTGCAGAACGCTTCGTCCGCTGCACATTCCCCGACGCAGTCTAACGGATCGTCCGAGACGGCGAGAGCAATAGCGCGTACCCGTCAACAGCTTGCGAACTATGTACGCTGCATTGCGGGAGCGTATTATAACATGGCGTTGCAGCTGCACCAGGCAGGGCGTCTCGCGCACGCAGTACCGTTCCTGGACAAGGCCTGCGCTCGTGCAGAGAGCGCGCTCACTGGCTATCATACTGCAGTGGCCGAAAGCGAAGCTGCTGACGAGGAAGACACTGCGAAAGAGGAAGTGTGGAAGCAGCTAGAGGAGCAGTTGTATCGACGTTGGGAGCTGCTGGGAGTGTGCCATGCGAAGACGGGCGATCGCCATGTGAGTTGCTGCACGCATTCCGTGTCAAGGCTTTCGCTGACGCGTCTCCTCTGCTCAGCTGGCGTACGACGCGTTCGTAAGGAGCATCCGCGCGTTCCCGTACGCTGCGTACGGTGTCGCCAGCCTTGCAGCCACGTCCCCTCCTACCGCGTTGTTCGATGCTCCCGCTGCGCCTGCACCGCTCCGGCACCTCGCGACGCTCGTCGATCGCGTCACGTACATGGCCGCGTGCGAGCTCTTCCATGCGCCGGACACGGTTCCCGTGTGTGCGTGGCCGGAAATCCTTACTGCCCCCGGCTTGGGGAGTCTTGACGCGTCCGCACGTGCGGTTGTCGTTGGTGCACTGACGGAACGCCAACTGGTTAGCTTGGAGGAGTGTAGGTGGAAGCAAGGCGTGAGCCGCGTTATCGATGCTGTTATGGACGGCGCAGAGGCGCTGTATGCCCGAGAGGGGTGTGCAGTTCGTCGGGCACGGGTTTTCGTGCGGAAGCTCGAGGCTGCATACTATCGTGCCGAAGAAGAGGGCCTGGGATTCGGGGAGGCTCAGCGGCTCTTGGAGAAAGTCGAGTCGTCGCTCGTCGCCGAGGTAAGTGCGTTATGTTGCGATGTGTTGCCAACGGGACTGACGCACGGGCTGTAGCATCTCGAACAGGGACCTGACAAGTCCCTCGCGAAGTTCGCGCCGGAGTTGCGCGCATCCGCGAACCTGTGGCTTGCGGCGCACGCGCACAAGGCGCGCGACCCCGGGCTGGCAGGCGCACTCGTTGCGCATGTCGAGGAGGCGTGTAGAGTGCTGAAGACGATGGTACCGCCTGCTGCTCCGCGACAGTCCGTGGGGAAGTCTCCTAAGGAGATCGTTCCTGCGGCGACGAAGAGAGGCGCGCGGACGACGCGCGCTGCGAGCGGAGCCAGGGCGGGAGCTGTTGAGACGATGAGGACGAGAGCACCGTCGGGGCGGACACGTGCTACGAAGACGGCGGCGGTGATCGCGCCACCTGTTACACCGAAGAGGAGACGAGGTTGGTTTTGATATGTGCTGCGTTCATGTAGTGGTCTGACCATGCTTGGGATGCAGCGCTGGATCCTGTCTCGCTGAACACCGCCACGGTTACTCCTCCGAAGGCCGCTGTGTCTACGGCGAGTGTACAAGGCAAACTCGAGTTTGATGACTTTGCGAGACTCATCAAGCTGATTCGTGAGCAACCAATGGTTTGCGGTATTCGATGGCAATGGCTAACCGTCCGCTGTTTAGGTATGGTCTCTCACCTGGTTGGATTGGTCGGCCACGTCCTGGCACGCGTGCAGCTACTGAACGTAGCCCGCCGACTGACCGAGCGTCACGCTGGGGTTGGTTCCGAGAGTAAGCAGTTTCCTGATTCCTATGGGTCACATGCGTGTTCATTTGGGAGCGTAGCATATGTTTCACTTACGATCGACACTGCGCACGAATATGTGAAGCTCGGTCGCGCGGAGAAGGCGGTGTCGGTCCTCGCCCATGTCTTGCCAGCCATCCGCA